TTTCTATTCATTTTCAGACCTTAAATTTTTCAAACTGCATTTTTTTTCTTAACTTTATTAATATCACAGGGAGGAGGGCTTCATATTGTATGAAGCACAGAAGTTAGTGGGTAGCTTTTTACTGAAAAGCTGGTGGCAGATTGATGAAATGTAAACCTACTCCCAGCCAATATTGTTCTTGGGAATTTGATTTACCTTTCATAATAGTGGAGGAAGTGCAACAGTATGTACATTACTTTACACATCTTTGGAGACTTGAAACAGCTGTTATATACATGTTCAAACTCTGTATTTTGCTGGAGTTACCCCTTTACCTACAGTATCTTCTGATATGATTTACAGTGCAACTTGATCCCATAGAATATGCAAAGTCACATCAACGTTGCACCACAAAATTGCACTGTAAATCACATCAAAGTCGCATCACAATAGTGTGAACCGAGCCTAAACCTTTTTTCTTAGCATTAAAGAGACACTGTCATGTTATCCATGCAGGGTAATGTGGCAGTGTCTCTCCAAAAATCATCCCCTAACCCTGAATGCTCACTGTACATGCTCTGTCTTAGAGCTCCTTGCTCATCTGCAGCCATCATGAATGCCTGGCACTCTCAAGTAAGTGGGAGCATGTGGTCTACTCCATGCGATAGCACTCAGGTCCATCAGCCAATCACTTGGCCCAAGCACTGTCACATGGGTGGAGAAGTGCTATCATCACCCCCCGAATCCTCCCTACAGTGTTGGCTGCGGAGGAGCAAGGCGTTGCGAGAGAGCACAAGTAAGGTAGGTACATGGGGATAGGGGGCATCCTTAGTATAGACCCCATCACTTTGCCCTGCATTGGTAAGTTGTCAGTGTCTCTTTAAACAGTCTAATATAGAATACACGCTCAACTGAAAATTACCTGGAAGACTAGGATCCATTGCTCTGGCCCAAATGCCTTTGAAATGTAGAAATATCCTCTAATATAATGAATCCTGCTGTTTAAAGAGACATTAATATAATGAAGACAGCTAATCAGTAACATCCATTGCATCAATTCTTTATGGCTACATGGCAGTATACTGCAGTAACATGCCAACGTGTTTCTACTGAAGCCTTACTTATGGCATGCTATGAGTAAGGGAATGAGGCTTTGGCGGAAATGCATTAGCATGTTACTGCTGTTTCCTACCATGTTGCCAATAAAGAATTGATGTAATGGAAGTTACTAAGTAGCCGGCTTCTTCATTATATTAGCGTCTCTTTAAATGGTTTATAACATGTAAAAGTGATATTTTAGTTAGAGCTAGTTGGCTGAATTTATTTCTTAGGTACCCCAACAGCAAGATCCCTCTGCCATCATTTCCAACATGAGTTTTTGTGTAGTCCTCCACCTGTGCCTATTCTAGCACTTACTGTTGCATTCTTTATACCATTAGAAAAATAACAAAACCAACAAGAGAGTTTTTACCCATTGTTAAGGCCAGGGGTCTCTAAACTTTTTAAACAAAGGGCCAGTTTAAATGAAACACAAATGATGCAGCGCTACTACCATAAAAATTCTTCACACATAAATGAATAAGTGAAACAGTGCAAAATTAGTGACACAAATAACATAAACACACAATATTAAATAGTGCCAAAAAACTCATAAATAATCACATGTGACAAGTGTCAATACGAGGTCCTAAAAGGACCAAATAACATAAATGGTGCCCCAAGTAATCCAATGGGATCCAACAGTGCTCCAAATCAAACAAGTAAGTCACAACAGGACTCAATGTGCTAAAAAAAAACCTCCCATCGGAACTAAAAATCAGTTCCCACCATATAACACAAAACACACGTGCATCCCAATAAACGCATAAACTAAGAACTGATCATGCAAACAAACATGAATAAATGAATAAATATATAAGATCCCATGAGGTGTAAAACACCTGACAATATACAAAAAAACATATATAAAGTCCACAGCAATTCTTGAAGAAGAAAAAAAAAAAAAACAGTGCTGATAAATGTGCAGAGATATCCAAAAATGGCTGAATTGCCCGCTCACCTCCCTCTTGCGACCCACACAGGGTCAAAAGGCCTTCAGGATAACTAACACATGGACCCTTAATAGTAGGTAATCCTCCACAGCTCTCCACACTGACCTCCCCTCATGTACAGGTTCCAGCACAGGCTCACAGGGCAGCAGATCTCCTCTTCAGGCACATAAGGTGGCTGCAGCCACTTGATCCCTCAGAAAATATAGGTGAATGCTTGCATAGTGTAAAACTATTTATTCACCAAGCAAAGTATCACATCAAGGGCCAGTTTAGTAACCTACAGATTTTAGGGGGCCGGACTGTGCCCAGTTGAAGTGGCTATTTTTCTGGCATCAGTTGGAGTAAACATCCCCACATTTAGTATTAGGGGTAGAAACACTGCCCCACCATTGGTATCATTGAGAGGAATGTTGCCCCATTATTGGTATCAGAGAACTTGCTATCAGTTGGTAGAATACTGTGTCATATGTGTGGGAAGAATAGTGTCCCAAGGGCCGGATAAAGGCAAGCAAAGGGCCACATTTGGCCCCAGGGCTGCAGTTTAGAGACCACTGGTTAAGTCAAGTTTGAAAGTTTGAAAAAAAGTCAGGTGGTTTGAGGAAGATGTAAACCCTATTGATATTTAGCTTGCTATAACTCAAAAGGCACAACTGCCTTTAGTAAAAATAAATTTCTTTTTTTTTTTACTTTTTTTTAATTCCTTGTGGCATCTCACTGTTGCCAATATCCTGGAGCCTCTTTGCAGACAATTGCAATCTATATACATGACCTGAAGCATTGCCTGCATGGCATTTCTCAGAGTGGGTTTTCTAGTGGTGAAAACAGGCACCATGCCTGAGTAGTGAGTGTTGGAGTGGCCATTTTTAGTTTCCATCCGAAGCCTGCATAACAGAGTAATAATATAATGGGAGACAGGGAGGAGGATCACCAGGTAATATATAATATAAATAAGCTGCAGATTTAAAAAGATCGATTGAAAATAACTTGTACTAGTGCATGTAAACAAGACGTGAAATTTGTTTTGTTACGAATTGAAATTTCGTACAACAATTTTGGTATTCGGAAATTCGGATGCATCCGAATCACAATAGTAAAAAATTTCAATTAATCTGAAATAAATTATGATGAAGCACATTATTCAAATTCACATTCGAAAATGAATTTGAATTTGAAAATGAATTTGAGTTTGAAAATAAATATTGGTATCGATACCGAGCATTTTCATGAGTACTCGTATTCGTGAAAATACTACCGATACCTTAACTGATACTTTGAGATGTGATTTACGTTAATGAATGCAAATTTCACCACAAACATGCGATTTGAACAAGAATGCAATTCTTGTCCAAATCACATGCAGTTTCCCCACTGCTTCTGTGTGAACCCAGGCTTGTCTTAGCCCGAGTTCACACAGAAGCAGTCCGGGAAACCTCCCTGCAGGCATCCCATGCTGAGTGTCAGTGATAGGAGAGAGTAGAAAGTGGCGAGGATTTGAAATCCCTGTTGCTTTCTTTCCACTCCTTGCAGCGATGACAGTTCGGGCTAGATGGTATCTGATTGGTCATCAGCTGACCAATCAGATGCCATCTAGCCTGAACTTTCATCGCTGCAAGTAGAGGAAAGGAAGCGGTGGGGATTTCAAATCCTCGCCACTTTCTACTCTCTCCTACCACTGACACTCAGCATGGGATGCCTGCAGGGAGGTTTCTCACATCGCTTCTGTGGGAATTCGGGCTAAGACAAGCCTGGGTTCACACAGAAGCAGTGGGGAAACCGCATTTGATTTGGACAGGAATCCCATTCCTGTTCAAATCGCATGCTATTCTTTGCAGTTCAGTTTGTGTCCATTAAAGCAAATCACACCGCAAAGTATTGGTACTCGGTATCGATGAGTACTTCACCGAAAGTGTCGGTACTCGTACTCACCGATAAAAAATGGTATCGGTGCATCCCTAACTAAATATGTTGATTTTTTTTCCCTTGACAAATACTTAGAAGCCTACATGACATTTCAATTTTAGGGCTTACATCTACTTTAGCTCTCCAACAGCAATATCAGGTTTTGGTAGGCTAACCTCTATAATCAGAGACAGAGGTCCACCGTGGGGACTCATTTACTCATAAGAGAAGGGGAGATGTGTCTACATAAGTGTAGGAAAAGTCCAGCTGATTCCTGACCAGGGCAAACTAGAAAAGAAGTACAAATACCCAATATGCCCAAGGCTACCCATCTAATTTACAACAATTGTTTCAGAAGCATGAATCCTAACCCCATCATCCTACAGTCAAAACAGAAAAATGAACAGAGCCTGCTCTTTATACTGCAGCTGATAAATGGAGATGATGTGGAGGTACTGGGTTGCATTCAGCCTAGAAAAGGACTGGATTGGACCACCAAGTAGTGAGTCTGTGGAGGACAGAACCAAGAAGAAGATTAGCTGCTGATTTTTTTAAATTTGATTTTGCTTTTAATTTTAAAAATGTTGAACATTTTTTTAAATTCTAAAAAAATAAAAATATGCTTGGCTACTTAATTTATTTTAATTTAAAATAAAATTGGGCTTTAAAGCATATGTAAATTCAAACAACTATATTCTTTCATTTGATCATTTTTGGGTATATTAAATATGCCATTACAATTATTTTGTTATGTATATTTGTTGATCTTGCCAGCAATCTTGGGAGCTGATAATTTCCTGTCTTCTATGCCTGTATTGCCTGTTATAATTTACATTGTTATCAGCTATCTCTGTTGATTACGGAACCATGCCCCTCTATGTTATGGAGTATAGGAGAGGGACAGAGGTTCTGTAGTGCTATCTTGTTTCTATTGCCCTGATACAAAAAAGGTAAATGAGCATTGCCATTCAAGAACTAGAGATGTTTAACTGGCAGGATGAAAAAGAGCTTCAAAATAAAATACTAATGCAGCCACCACATCTAAGTATTGGTAAGCTGCACTTTATAACATATATCAGGGCTTGCAATTTCCACTCACCTGCTCGCCAATGGTGAGTGAAAATTATGGTGGGAGCGAGTGTGTCCCCTAGGGCCGTCTTGCTGAGCAGGCTTGGAGCTCAGGCCGGATCTGTCATTGGCACTAGGAGCCGTCAGACTGCAAAATAGCTGAGCGCAGTGAAAGCAAAGCAAGGAGTGTGTGCTGTGCTCTCTGCCTCCCCCTAGAGTGCAGTACCCAGATCTGTGAGTGAACAACGAAGTACTGCAACTATTTATGGGGGGGTGGGTGGTGTGTGTGTGTGTATGTGTACATGTGTGTGTGTTTGTGTGTGTCTGTGTATGCATGTACAATTGTACATGTGTCTGTGTGTATGTACATGTGTATGTACATGTGTGTATCTGTACATGTGTCTGCGTGTATGTACATGTATGTGTGTGTGTGTACATGTGTCTGTGGGTGTACATTATTATTATTATACAGTATTTATATAGCGCCAAAGGGTTTGCTCAGCGCTGTACAATAGCAAGGGGGACAGAACATGAGACAAGACAGAAACAATACAATACACGAGGGGTTCGAGGGCCCTGCTCTTTCGAGCTTACAATCTAGGAGGGAGGGGAAAGTGGTACAGGAGGAAATGGCTGTGGGGGATGGAGTGGTGGGAGGAGTGGAGGAGGTCAGTTGTCAGGTGAGGGTGGGGTAGGCTTCCCTGAAGAGGTGGGTTTTCAGGGTGCTCCTGAAGGTGAGGAGGGTAGGTGACAGTCGGATGGATTGGGGTAGGGAGTTCCAGAGGATGGGGGAAGTCCTGGAGAAATCCTGCAATCGGGCGTGGGAGGAGGAGATCAGGGAGCTAGAGAGTAGGAGGTCCTGTGTGAGGAGCGAAGGGCACGGGTAGGGTAGTATTTGGGTATCAGGTCGGTTAGGTAGTTTGGGGCGGCGTTGTGAATGGCTTTGTAGGTCAGAGTTAGCAGTTTGAATTTGATGCGCTGGGCAATTAGGAGCCAGTGAAGGGATTGGCAGAGGGGGGTGGCGGATGTGGAACGGTTGGTGAGGTGGATGAGTCTAGCCGCTGAGTTCAGGATAGACTGGAGTGGGGATAGCATTTGTTTGGGTAGGCCAGTGAGAAGGGAGTTGCAGTAGTCCAGGCGTGAGATGATGAGGGAGTGTGCGAGTTGTTTAGTAGTGTCTGAGGTGAGGAATGTACGTATCTTGGAGATGTTGCGGAGGTGGAGCCTGCATGATCTTGATAGTAATTGGACGTGAGGTAGGAAGGAAAGGTTCGAGTCCAGGGTGACACCCAGGACTCTGGCATGTGGGGTGGGAGTGATGGTGGTGTTGTTAGTAGTAATAGAGAGGATGGGGGGGCGCGGTGTGGGGGGAAGACCAGGAACTCAGTTTTGGACAGGTTTAATTTGAGGAAATGGAGCGACATCCAGTCTGATATGTCGTTCAGGAGGTGGGCGATGCGGGCGGAGAGAGAGGGGGTGAGATGGGGGGTGGAGAGGTAAATTTGTGTGTCGTCGGCATAGAGGTGGTAATTGAAGCCGTGGGAGTGTATTAGTTTGCCAAGGGAGGAGGTGTAGATGAAGAAGAGAAGGGGCCTGAGGACAGAGCCTTGGGGGACTCCGACAGAGAGGGGGAGAGAGAGGGGGTGGCAGTGTTATAGGTGACGCTGAAGGAGAGTTGGGATAGGTAGGAGGAGAACCAGGAGAGAGCAGCGTCCCGGATGCCAAGGGAGTGCAGTTTAGTAAGGAGGAGAGGGTGGTCGACAGTGTCGAAGGCCGCGGAGAGGTAAAGGAGCAGGAGGACAGAGTAGTGGCCATTAGCTTTGGCGGTTAGCAGGTCGTTGGTGATTTTAAGTAGGGAGGTTTCGGTGTAGTGTAGGGGATGGAAGCCAGACTGTAGAGGATAAAGGAGGTTGTTATCAGTGAGGTGGGTGCTTAGGTGCTTGTAGGCCAGGTGCTCAAGGAGCTTGGAAGTGAATGGTAGCAGGGAGATGGGTCTAAGGTTGTTCAGGTCAGTGGGGTCAAGGGAGGGTTTTTGTGAGTATGGGGGTGATGTGCGAGTGCTTTAGAGGAGAGGGGAAAGTGTCAGTGGTAAGGGAGAGATTGAAGATGTGGGTGAGGGAGCGAATGATGGAGGGGGAGGGTGACTGGAGGAGCTGTGAGGGGATAGGGTCCAGGGGGCAGGTGGTGAGGTGGGCTTCGGTGAAGACCTTAGAGACCTCCTCAGGGGTAGCTGGGCTGAAGGAGCGGAGCATTTAGGAGGTGATAGTGTGCGGGGCGTTGGGCATAGTGGGGGATAGTGTGGCTATGAGGTCGGAGGAGGGGAGGGTTGAGGGGATGATGGAGGGCGGGGGGGCTGGGTGGAGAGCTAGATTGTGAGTTGACAATGTCCTTACGGATTGCGTCAATCTAGTTTTGGAAATGATTGGCAATCTCATAGGTGGTGAGAGAGGTGCTGAGTGGAGGTGGGGGGGGGGGGGGGGGGGAGAGCAGGGATTTGAAAGTGGAGAAGAGCCGGCGAGGACAGGTGGAGAGGGTGTTGATAAGGGTTACGAAATAGGCTTGCTTGGCAGCATGGAGGGAGGTGGTGTAGGTGAGGAAGGTGGCTTTGTAGAGGGAGAACGCGCGAGGGGATCTGGTTTTGCGCCATAAGCACTCCAGCGCGCGACTGCATCGTTTGAGACATTTCGTATGGTCGTTTTGCCAGGGTTGAAGCGGTGGGGGTCTGGTGTTACGTGTGGTTAGGGGTGCCAGGGAGTCGAGGGCAGCCGACAGTGAGTCGTTGTACACAGTAGTGGCCAGGTCAGGGCATGAGGGAGGGAGGATACTGTCATACAGACGCTCAGCTGCCGGATGGAGATGGGTCGGCTTCAGATTACGGAGGTTGCGGGTGATGGTTAGACGCTTTGGGGGGGGGGGAGTTAAGGGAGGGGGAGATGGAGAATGTGAGGAGGTGGTGGTCAGAGAGGGGGAAGGGGGTGTTAGTGAAGTCGCAGGGGGTGCAGAGGTGGGTGTTTCCATTGGTGTGGGTGGAGGACTGTGTGTGCTGTGTGAGCGCGAAGGAGGAGGTTAGGAGGAGGAGTTGGGAAGTAGCCAGGCTGTTGGCGTTGATGGGGATGTTTAAGTCCCCTAGGATGACGGTCGGTAGCCCAGAGGAGAGGAAGAAGGAAGCCAGGCGGCAAAGTCGTCTAGGAAGAGGGATGCAGAACCAGGAGGCCGATAGATTACCGCAATCCTCAGGGGGGTGGGAGAGAAGAGCCGGATGCAGTGGGCCTCGAAGGAGGAGAAGGATAGGGAGGGGGGTTAGGGAGGACCTGGAAGGTGCTCAGCGGTGGCAGGAGCATACCGACCCCACCGCCTCTGCGGCCGCTTGGTCTGGGTGAGTGGTTCCAGACAAGACCTCCATAGGAGAGTGCTGCAGGGGAGGTGGAGTCAGTGGCTTGGATCCAGGTTTCAGTGACCGCTAGGAGGTTGAGGGAGTGGGAGACAAAGAGGTTGTGGATGGAGGTGAGCTTGTTGCAAACCGAGCGGGCGTTCATGAGTGCAACCGAGAGAGGAGGGGTGGATGCGGGGAGGAGGGGTACAGATATGAGGTTGAGGAGGTTGCGGCGGCTGGCGGGAGTAGGGGGGTGCTGAGAGGGGGAGTGGGAAGGTGGGGGGCCAGGGTTTGGGGAGATGTCTCCGGCAGGTAGGAGAAGGAGAAGGGTGAGGAAGGTGGCATGGGAACAGGATGTGCAGGACCGTGTGGGTCTGTTGGTGGTAGCGTGTGGGTCGGCAGGTGGGTGGAGTAGCAGTAGGAGGTGGTGAGAGCCATAGAGGGGAGAAGGAAGAAGTGTGGGTGCAATGTAGAGCTGTTTTGGGGGAGTAGGGGGGGTAGAGGGAGGCAAGTTTGGGAATGGAGGAGAGGAGAACAGGGAGGAGGAGTGCAGGTGGCATGCATGTGTCTGTGTGTGTATGTACATGTGTCTTTGTGTATGTACATGTGTCTGTGTATGTATGTATGTACATGTGTCTGTGTGTATGTACATGTGTCTGTGCATGTGTATTTCTGTGTATGTACATGTATCTATGTGTATGCGTGTCTGTACGTGCCTGTGTGTGTATACATGTGTCTGTATGAGTGTGTGTACATGTGTCTCTGTGCGTGTGTGTACATGTTTCTGTGTGTGTGTACAGTATGTGTACGTGTGTATGTACATGTCTGTGTACAGGTGTCTCTGTTTGTGGCGAGTACCTCTAAGGCCTTGCAAGTAGCTCAGGACTTGAAATTTTAAGCCCTGACATATGTTATAGGTTTAGATATGCTTTAAAATAACCAACTGAATTGGCATTGATATTTAATAATAATTGGATGCCCAGGGCTTGAACCTTACTTGAATACCTGAAATTTTCCTTCAGGCTCTGTACCTCTAGGAAAAGCATCAATTCAACCACAATAGCAGGAGGTAAGAATATTGGTAAATGTTGTATTTAAATAGGGTACTCTTGCCAAGGCTGAAAGGATGCAGCATTTGAATTTTAGAAAATTAGAGCTAACCACAGATAGAAACGGAGAGGTATGAATCAACAATAAATTACAAAATGACCTGAGCACAAACTGTTATACATTTTTTACAACCATAGTGACGTTTTCCTTTAAACCCGACCACCTGTAGCACTCCATCCAAAACTGTTCAATCTATTTCAAGAGATGTTGGCATGCAATATTCATAAATGTGAGTTAACTTTAAGATAATATATTCTGCCTATTTATAAAACTCCCAGAATTAGTTTTCTATATTTCAAAGCCGTAATAAATATTTCTTTCCTCCAGCGCAACATCTTTGGATTTAATTAAATATGTTCCTTACTCTGGATCATCTGCTTTAAATATTAATGAATTGCATCGTCTTAAAGATGGCCAAGAATAGAGGTTTTCATTTCAGACATCATAGAGCCACTGTGGGGGGATCTTAACACAATTTGTCATTGCTTTTGTTTCTCAGGGAATTTTATTTATAGAGTGTAAACGCACAGCTGGTAAAACTTAACCAATTTAAACTGCTCCAATACAAAGTCTAACAAATTTACAGAATGATTCTCTCCAACTACCTGCACTGATGTCGTCCCCAAACGCAGAGGATCGTGACTTTCACAACAAAGACTATTAATTATAAATACAAGGTCTGAATATATCAAACATTCCCCTTTCTCTCTCAAGTGTTACAGATAAGGAACACCGCTAGAGAATTTAATTTTGCAAATAGTAAATTAAATGAACGTCGGTATGAAATAAACTTCTAAAGCTTTTGGTTGTTTAATTTTTTTTTAAAAAATTCAGATATTTTACATGTATATCTTTTTTATTTTTGTCAGAAAGAGACATTTTTGTTGAGCCATAGCAGTAGCAGACCTGAAACACATGGGAATTGTTTCATCTTAGTTTATAAATGTTAGTCTGAAAAGTAGAAGCCTCAACAAGCATTTGCAAAAATTGCCCAAGCTTCAAATAGCTTTCTTAAAGTAGAACTAAACTGTATCTCAGCACCACAAACTGAAACTGCAATTTAATTCATTTTTAATATATAAATCAAACTCCTCCAGCCATCCATGTCTCCATGCTTTATTTTGTTGAGAAATCATTTGAAAGCCCCCCCCCCCCCCACCACCACCATTTCTAGCCAATGCCATTTTTTTTAAGGGAAAATAATGAATGTAGCATTTACTTCTTGGAATCCATCTTCCCTTAGCTCATGCATGAAGACAGGAGGGTGTGCTTAGTTGAGAATCTTCTTCCTCTTCTGGATGAAAAAAAAAATGCCCATGAAAACTCCTATTTGTTGCAGATGTTGACAGTCCACTAGGGACACCAACAGATGTTGACGGCCCACTAGGGGCACCAACAAATGGTGACAGTCCACTAGGGACACTGACAGATATTGACAGTCCACTAGGGACATCGACAGATGTTGACAGTCCACTAGGGACACCAACAGATGTATGGGAACATCCTCCCAGAACAGTGCTTGCTCCTGGAAAATGGTTAAACAAATCAATTAATTAATCTAGAGTAAGTTCTGTCTCCTTTGTACCAACCTACACCCTTATCAACTAACAAATGCCATATCTTTCATGGAAAAAGGGTACCAAAAGGTATGTTCCCCTAAAAATTGTACTGGGACTTTAAAGGCAACTCAAACACGTTAGCATAAACATGTGAATTATTTTATTACAAACGTTTAAAACATCATTAGATTAACACATTGTGCAGACATTAAAATCACACGTAGAAATAATGGCAGGAAAGGCTGTAAATCTGCTGTAGGCTGAAATATGCTGACCCGACGCGTTTCAGAACACATCCTTTCTTCAGGAGTAAGCTGAAAGGGAGGGATGGCCAAGAAACATTCTATAGAATCCATTGGATATTGATAAGAATCTACAATTACATCATTAGGAACAGCAAAATCAAGTAAATATATCCACACTACATACCATGTAATTTTCTTGTATGAATTCACTTGCCACAATTACAAAAAATACAAAAATAGTCTCCTGTTAATGTGCTCATCATCGACACCGCGATGCATCTGGGGCTCGAAAAAAATGGACAAAGGAGGTCCTCGTTTTTGGCAGTTGAATGTCATTTGCCCAGGCATTACAGCAGGAGTGGTAAGTCAATTTGACTTTGAGCAAGAGGCTCAAGTCCACAGGTGCTTGCAGGCCCACAGTGTACCTGCACTTGAGTACTATTATATTAAAAAACGTAGAACTAGCGCAGGTTGTTTTTACAGCTAAACATTGGTTGTTTTTAAGGCTAAACACAAGACATTGGATTATGACTCAGCCTCTGTTAGTTCTGAGCTGCTATCTCATAACAGACAGAAAGACCTGTCAGGGGAAGCCATTGCAAAAAATGGTTTAACATTTTCTAAACGCTCCAAGCATGTTAACGTAAAATGACACAACGCCAATGGATGCTGAAGAACGGTCTCAGTTCACATTTTCAGATTAGGCAGTTGCGGGTACATGGGAGGTGCTGAAAAAGCGACAGTATTTTAGTAATGATATGAAAAAGACCTTAAAGTGGTAGTAACTCCAAAAGAAAACATTTATTATATTGCAGCACACCAATTCTTAGATGTGGTGGTTATGCTACGTTTCTGTTTTAGGCTTTCTTTCCTTTAAATTTCCCTGGTGATCTGGCTAGTAAATCTGTTATGCAAGCTCTCTTGCAGATGTATCAAGTTACAGGGATGAGACAAACCGCTAAAAAAGGAAGTGTGAGATTAATGGGTTTTAAAAAAAAATAAACACACATACTCACCAGTGCTGCATTGATCCGATGCTGTAGCTGTCCTCCACCAGGTCTGTTCTGACTGTCAGTCACCACCTTGTGCTCTGCTCTGTGCTAAGCTTCTCCATCCCTCTCTGGAGTTCCAAGCTGTGGAGGAGGTGGGAGCGGCTGGTTTAGGCTGTCAGTGGTGCACTGAGAGGCTTTGACAGGCTGCCAGCTTTCGGTCAGGCATCTGGATGGATTCCGACATTATTGTCTGGATCCCTGCAGAGCCTGGGCTGGCTGTGGCTGCAGTCGACAGTGGACGCAGCTGAGTCTGGGTCACAGGAGTGCAGACCTAAGTGCACTCCTGTGACCCACAGGAGAAATATGGGATTTGCCTAGAATTCTCCTTTAAAAAACTGGCAAGGGTGCTGACAATGATTAGATCCTTTATCCCAAAAGGAAAAAAAAAAACATTTTGCTGTAATTGCTTATAATGTATTAGCTGGAGTTCAGCTTCAATCTGTTGGTGTATCTAAATCTGACTCCCCCCCCCCCCCCACCCCCACAGACTGACGATGCTGATGTCCAAAGGTGCCCCCTGTGCTCATTCATCCAGAGTGATGGCACTCTAATACAGAAGGTTCATTATTAACCACATCACCAGGTGAACACAGAGAGAAAAGAAGCATAAAAAAAGAAAAAACTAATACAGCCACAATATATGAATAGTGGTAAACCACAATATATTACATTTTTGGTTTGGAGTTTGATACCACTTTAAAGCCCAACTCCATACAGGTAACTTGACACAGAACTGAGATACACATTTGATCATATTGTAGGACCACATTCTGTATAGCCACTCAGATCACTCTTACCTAAAAAAGAATCATCAGCTGAAAAGAATGGTACCAGGATCATGGCTATGGCTGCAGCCATGATCCTGGTATAACAACTTCAACCTGAGGCCATATATATATACATGGTTAACCCTTTCCTACTCAATCTAAATTGAAAAAAAAAGATTTGCCATAAAATATATTTGAACTTTTCAAGAAATGAAGAGAGGTGCAGCTAACAGGTTGATTGTTTAGTAGCTATTAATCAGTTAAAGTGGTTGTATAGACTGAAGGTTTTTTCTATGTATGAAGGTAAAAACTTTCTGTATGTTGCTCCCACCCCATAGCCCCTCCTAATACTCGCCTGAGCCCCCTCTTGATCCAGCAATGTACACAGGAGCCTGGACTGTCCTGTGGACTCCCTCTCCTCATTGGCTGAGACAGCAGTGGGAGCCATTGGCTCCCACTGCTGTCAATCACAGCCCAGTGAGCTGATGAGGAGAGAGCAGGGGCAGGGCTGAGCCACGGTTCTACTGTATGTGTCTATGTGTCGGTGCAGGATATGTATACACGAACACACCCCGCTGAGCTGGCAAGCTAATGCGTTTCAGGGGTGCATCCTCTTCCTCAGAGCAAAACTAACCAGCCATTGTATGCACAGGTGCATAAATACAGACAAGCAAGCAAAGCACCTCGCACACCAAACAAAAAAAAAGAAATGAATAAAAAAAAATATAAAAATGATAATACTTATATATGAATTAATTAATTGATCGATTGATTCATTCATTCATATATACTTATGATCATTTTATTTTTTTTTTCCTTGCGTGTTTAAAATAGCAGTACAATTGGATTCCCCATATCTGTGGAGGGCTGTGGTCGCCTGGCATCTTGGGTGTTTATGAATGTCCTACCTCACTGTGGAGGACCTCTGAGCACTGGGAATAACTGATTTTCTT